TTTTTTTTTTTTTTTTTTTCAAAATTCATCAATTATAAGTTTATTTATGTATAATGTTTTCACGTGTACGTGCGAGATTAGAAGAAGAGGATACAGAGTCCGTGTAATATCTATGTTCATTATTGACTATGTTTTTTTGTATAGAAATAAAACGTGCCGCCGACTTGTACATAATACGAAATGTATATATGTATTCAATGCGTATATAATATATATTTAAATGAATATATTTCGTGTATTGGTAAGAAAGATATTTGAAGACGAAGAAACTTTGTCTTCTTTTTATTTTCTATTTTATTTTCTTTTATTTTTTATTTATTATTTAAATATATATTTAATGCATATTATAAACATATATTTAATGTATATTATATATATATATATTTAAATACGTATATTTCGTGTATTGGTAAGAAAGATATTTGAAGACAAAGAAACTTTGTCTTCTTTTTATTTAAATTTTATTTAAATTTTATTTTAATTATTTTTTTTTCTATTTTTTTTTTTTTCCTAACAATATTTAGAAATATCAACTCTCTAAAAAAATTGCATAACCACAAGACCAACTACTACTAATTGGAATAAATTAAAAAAAAAAAACTTTTATTGAACTAATTCTTTAAATCATATGATTATGAAATAAAAAAAAAAAAAAAATTAACATATTACACATTAGGTAAACAAGGTGCATACTGAAGAATTATGATAATTACAAAAACCGGTCTCTAGATCAAATGATCTATTCAAATTAATTCGTTAATGTCACATGCCGATTATCCAAAAAAATGAATCATTCGATTTATAGAATATAATCAATTATTTTTCCATATAACTATGATGAAATATTTTTCTTATTTTTTTTTTTTTTTTTCAATTTTTTCTTCGAAAATAGAAAATAGAAAATCGATGAAACTATTCGAAGAAAGATGCTAATGAGTGAAAGGACTTTGAAAAATCTTACTTTAAATACAAGTCAACGTCCTAATTTCTCTCCGATCGAAGAAGAAAGCTGAGAGGACAGAAAAAAAGGGATGAGGAGGAGAGGGAGGAGAAAGTAGGGTTGAAAAGGGGGGAAAGAAATGAGGAAAGGGTAAACCGGTCGAATCTTCACCAGATTCTTACAGTTTGAAAATAGACAAGAGTGGTTTGATGAACGAGAAATTGTTTCCTCACTTGGTCAC